TTTACCTATTTTTTGGAGAAAGACACCCTTTTACTTGAGAAATTAATCAAATTACCCTTTGACTGTTTAAGAGACTTTTTTAGTTTTACAATTTAATATATTGGACCAATCTGCCCTCATGAACAATTTATGCATAAAATAATAATAAAAAATACATTATATATATATATATATATATATATATATATATATTTAAATGTCCCAATTTCTTAAAAATGTGGACGTCTAAAATGATTTTTTGATCTAATACATATATTTCAAATAAATTATATTTTGTTATTACTTCTTTTTTTTTCTTTTTTATTTTTAAATTAAGATGCATAATTCTTTCATCTAAAAAAATTAAACCAATCTCTTTTCCTTAAAAATAAAAAATATGGTACCAGTATAACTTTATGTATCTTAAATTATATATCAAATATTATGCATTTTCCAACATAAAAAAAATAGGTACCAATTTAACTTTATGCATGCCTTTGTTTTTTTTTTTCCCCCTCCTTTGTTTTATTATTATTATTTTTCCCTTTTTTTGTTTTGTTTTTTTTGTTTTTTTTGTTTTTACCCCTTTTATGTTGGGAAATACATAATATTTGATATATAATTTAAGATGAATAAAGTTATACTGGTACCATATTTATTATTTTTAAGGAAAAGAGATTAGTTTAATTTTTTTAGATGAAAGAATTAAGCATCTTAATTTTAAAATAAAAAGAAAAAGAAAAGAAGTAATAACAATATATAATTTATTTAAAATATATGTATTGGATCAAAAAATCATTAATTTTAGACGTCAACATTTTTAAGAAGTTGGGGACATTTATAAAGTAAATAACAAAAAAAAAAAAAAAAAAAAATGTAAACAAAATAAAGGTTTTTTTTTTTATGCATAAATTGATCATGAAGGTAGATTGGTCCAATTTATTAAATAGTAAAGTTAAAAAAGTCTCGTAAATGTTCAAAAGGTAATTTGGTTAATTTCTCATGTAAAGGGGTGTCTTTGTCCATTTTTGAACCTTCAGAGAATGTCTTTATTTAAAAAATAAGTAAATTTCTTTTGAGTATCATTTTGCTAAATCTCATAAATGTGGCACTTTACCCTATTCTTTAATTATAATAAATTAATAGTTTGTAACAAACCAATAGTTTACGGGTTATTTAATAAGGAGTGTGTGTTTTTTTTTTTTTTTTTTTTTTTTGGGTACTTTACTAAAATATATATATATATATATTTTGCTGTTACAAATGCACACACATGTCGGTCATTTAGTAGACCTCAGCTTTTCCTTTAACAAGGCCATTCACAGCCACTAATAGTAGATTCTTTGGTTTTGTGGGTCACGAGGTGCTCCACACGTGTACACGTGGCCACTGAATAAGGGGTTTGATATATCGAAGAGGATGAAGAATGCACTTTACTTTTTTGAAGTGGGACCCAATTAAAAATGTGGTTATGACGTGGCATACATCCGTACTAATTGCTTTGTTGGATGCCTTTGTGTTCTTGGTAGGGATGTGTTCCACGTGTTCGCTTGAAACCAGATGTTGAAGTGGGGACTCTTTTCGAATACCTCTCCGGTTTTGGACTTGTTTTGTCCGCCTCTTTATATTGAGAATCAAATACTCGGCAAATACTCGGACAGAGATTAGCTTAGTGACAAGTTGGACAATTAGCCAAGGTTATGGGCAAAGGTAGTGGTACAATATTACTACTTTCGTACAAGCATCCTCTTCACCCAAATTTTCGTAGCGTGATTCACATATATTTACGACTGATCATTTTATTTTACGTTATTACTTACAAATTCAGTTATAACAGTAATTTTAAAATATAATTTAATAAGATGATTTAGGAAATGAATATTAAATACATAACTAAGATCTGCGAATTCAAGAGAGAAATTTGACCCGAGAGAATTCATTTCTCTTACATTCAGAGAGAAAATTTCAATGTCTTGTGAAAAGTAGGCAGGTGAGTTTCTAGCTTTAACAAAGGTTTTTTATTTTTTTCAAAAAAGGTTAGCGAATTTCCAAATCTTCCTTGATAATTCACTTTTATAGATGGATTTCCTTGGCTCTATAAGTACGGTGTATGTGAATTCATAGTTAATTGTGAACGTTTTTATAATTCAGTAGTTAGATTGCTCCCCGTTTGAGAGCTCGAATTTGAGCTTTCGCAATTCTAATTATTTGTAATCTAACATTTTTTTACTAGAAAAAATAAAATAAAATAAAAACAAAACAAACAAACATAGTCAATTGGTTGAAACCCTTTGCTATTATGACATGAATGGTTGAAATTCTTACCATTTGATGCTACCAAAGTCATTATAAATGATTTCATTTTGAAAACCTGTTTTCTTGCAATGATTATTTCGTGATGTTGTGTTTAAACTTGACATTAATTTTTGTAATATGCAAGGATTTATTAAAAAGTAATGCTAAACGTCTTGAATAAAATTTGAGGTATATATCTTGAATATCATGTGTCACTAATAAAAAATAATTATGTCCTCAATTTTAATATTTAAATTATAATTAAATTAAGAAATCAATAAAATTCAAAGATGAATAAATGATTCTGATAATTTATTTATATATATATATGTGTGTGTATATATATATTTGTACCCCATTGAAGGAGAAATGAAGATGAACTCTTAAATTTTATTTTCATATATATATATATGTGTGTGTGTGTGTATATATTTGTATGAATTACCCATTGAAGGAGAAGTGAAGACGAACTCTCAAAATTTATTTTCTCTACTACTATTATTATTATTATTATTGTATTCTCTTATGCAATCTCGACTTTATAATTATGATAAGCATAAATTATTTACTCGTATATGTAGATCGTTGAGGAAATTAGGGTTCTTATTCAAAAGAAAGAAGACTCAAAATATAATTTTAAGAAGTTTTCAGTTAATTATGTATTTATCAAATTAATTACAAAAAAAAAATAATAATTGAGAAAATTAGAGTTGTTATTGAAGAGAAAAAGTTAACCCTTAAAATGTCTCCAAAGAGTTCTTTTGGGATTCAGATTTTACCACAAATATTTTTTTCTATTTTTTTCTCTCAACCTACCATGTATTCTCTAGACAAAATATATTTCAGTATACACAAAATTAAATTGCAATATCATCGACTACAAAGTTACCCGATCATCAGTTATGTAATTCAAGTTATTTTCGTGATACCAATAATTATGATGTTTAACATTTTTCTTTATTAAAACATGTGATTTAATGGGTTGTTTGGGAAATATAGGAGTGATAAGAATGCCCACATGTGTTTAAACTTGACATTTTGAGAAAAAAAATTCGAAATAATTACGTTGTCTCTAATATTTTATTCTTAAAGCTTGTGTGGATATATTTTTAAAAAATAATTCGAAATAATTATGTTGTCTCTGGTCTTTTATTCTTAAAGCATGTGTAGATGAAACTTAACTTTCTTAAAATTTACCAATTTTGCTTTTATGTTAGATGATGATGATGAGATTATTTTTATTATTATTTCGAAAAGTTATGTTAGATTATTATTATAGTTTTGGTATTTTTTAATTTTTTTTGTTATTCGATCCGTTAACAGGTAAATGTAGATATAAAAATCATATTATTCTTTAGTTTTCATATATATGAAGGTTAAAGACATATATATAAGGAAGTTATAGGGCAAATAAACCATTATCAATTAGAAAATGGATAAACAATACTTTAGGAGTAGTATAAGATAAGAGAAATGCTAAGGACATTTGTCTTAACGATTGTCCATTCACGGTCGCTATTCTTATTCGTCAATAAAATTATAATTAATGAAGATATTAATTATAAATTTTTAATTTTTTATGAAATGTTAAAATTATTTTTTTTTGGACAAAATAGCCTTTTTAAACCTTTCATCCGTCTCCTTAGTTCTCACTTTTCAAACTCCAAACTTACGCAATTGAATTGAACCTCACTTGATGAGGTTTACATATAAATTGTACGATCCGTATTCCAATATATGTAATATAGATATATGCATATATATTAAGCATTACTTTTCTTTCTTTTTTTTCATTTTTTTCCCTTGTTAGATCTGTATGGGTTACTTTCCTTTTCTTTTCTTTTTTTCTTTGTTAGATTCGTATGCCAGTTTATATATATATATATATATATATGCAATTCTCTCAACCATGAATTCATATAGAGAATATATATATATATATATATATATATATATATATATATATATGAATTCGTGGTTGAAAAGAAAAGTAAAGCTTTATATATGTATATATATACATGCATATATCTATATAAACATATAAAAAGAGATGAAGGTAATATATATATATATATATATATATAGAAATACTATGTATGTAAATGTCATCAAGTGAGAAAAAAGAACCGAGGAGGTGGATGAAAAGTTTGAAAGGGATGTTTTATCTATAAAAAAAAAATAATAATTTTAACATTTTATAAAAAGTAAAAAATTTGTAATTAATGTCTTCATTAATTACAATTTTACGGACGGATAAAAATGGCGACAGGCGACTCTCCTCGTAAGATAATTCCATTAGAAAAATGGCATGTTGACAAATGCAATTAATGTTAGAACATATAAAAGTCCATTAAAATTAGGTCAAGTTGATTGGTCAATTTGTATTTTTTTTTTTTTAACGATTGGTCAAGTTTACTTGGGTCCAATTGGGTATATGGTGTCTTACCTTATGGTTAGATTGAATTATTGCGAGTCCTACACGTATTATTCATACTTGGAAAGTTGGTAGAAGACTTGGAAATGAAGAAGTGTTTGGCCAACTTGCAATCTCATCCACTAATAGGTGGTCATGAAAAAAAGAAGTTAATTAAACAAACAGAGATTAAAGTAAAGAAAAGTAGGGAGACTTTTTGAAAAGTGAGAGTGGGGGCGCCGAGGAATTAGGAGGATGGAAAGGAAAAGGAAAAGGAAAAGGAAAATGCTGAGTCAGATTGAATACTCGCCCACTTTTGGGTTCGCAAATGAGAATAAAAAAGAGGAGAGAGAAACAGGAAATCTCAAGGCCACAAAGAACTTGTGGCTCAGAATTGCTTTTTCTCTGCTGCTGACAAAACACACTCAACAGGCAAAGCTCTGAATTAAACGGATCAAAATCGTCGAAACGGCGACGACGACGACAACACGCACACAACAACAGACCTCACCACACCCATCCAACCCAACCCAACCCAAACACTCACACCGGGTGTGCCAGATCTCTCTCACCCAATCCCAATTTCACCGCCTTTATCATCTCCCTCTCTGTGTACTTTCTCTCTCTAGAAGGTGTCCTTTTTTCTTGACAACAGAGCACGAAATGTCGGAAGCGAAAGATCCGGCGATTAAGCTCTTTGGGAAGACGATTCCACTACCGGAGGCCCCTGCGGATTCCCCCGGCTCGGGCGGAGCTGCTACTCCTCCTATTGATGAATGTCCGGGTTCACCCAATTCTTCGCCTGAGAACGCCGAGACCGACAGAGTTGGAGATCAGCAAGAACCGGAGAAGGTATGGATCGGATTGATTACTATTAATTCTAAGAACAACCTTTATTTGATACCCGACACAAAATAATGGGTAGATCTTAGTTTTACATGGCTTTGAGTTGTTCTTGACTTCGTTTAATACTTTGATTTGAGGAACTATGGGGGGTCTAAGTCTAATTTAGGGTATGGACTTAGTTTTTGTATATTAATCTTGATTCTTAAATGCTTTATTCTGGAATTAGTGTAATTTTGCTTCAGTAGCCAAACTTATGATTTTCCGACAATTATTTGGATACTCAAGTATGGTTCATTCTAATTGTTCCTTTTAGATCTTCTTTGGATACCTTCAAATTTTAGACTGAAAAAGTTACTTTTCTTCTTTATTTACTTTTTTTGGGAGAAATTTTTCACTTAAATATGCATATGTCATGATCAATTTCCTTGAATAACTTCAGACTAATTTTCATTATTTTAGAACATTCCCCACTTACTTAAGGTAAGGATATTAATTTCTGAACTACAGTTGGATAAAAATTTCATCTTTCACTTCCCCATTTCGAATTTCTCCCCCTCTAGCACCTGCCTCTAAGATCTGAGTTAATCTGTTAGTTGTTGTTAAACTTGGAATATATGATTGGTTAATTGGTACTCTATTGAAGATGTTAAGTTATTTAAAATTCAGTTTTGGCTAGTAATATCTGTGCGTGAGTTTACTATTGAAAGCTAGTGTTTTAAGTGTAATTCATGAATTTAATGATGAAATTGTTGTATCAGATAATTTTTTTAGTTTTTCATGTTATGTAAGTTTGCAGTTTTTGATAGATAAATTTTTGGTTTTTTTGCTATAATCTTTTCAGCTGTTGCATACTGATTTTTAATGTTGATTCTTCAATTAGTCCAGTTTTCTTTTTGGTTTTCCTGTTGTGGTGGATGAGTATTTGGGGTGTGATTCATTATCATATACTTCCTAAAGTGGCAAGTATAGAATTTAGCCCATAATGTCCTGTGATCAATATTGCCCACTTTGCTGCCTCTTCATCCTCTCTATTTTCGATTTCACTTGTTTTATAGGCCATTTGGTTGTTGGGAAGTGTAAGAGGAAAGAGAATATTATTAAGTGACTAAAAACCCCAATTGTTATACGATTATAGGTATTTTATGTGTTGTCCTACATATTCTTGGCCATCAAATGGACGATGTCTGAATTCTAATATCCCATTCTTATGAAGAATATTAATGTCACCTTCCAAAACAGTTGATATAAAGTTTTGTTAAGATGAGATGAGCTGAGTTTCAATCTCAACATAAATGTGATAGTGAATATAGTGATAACTAATGCAATTATTGTAACTGTTGAATCTGGTTATACTGTAATGAACTAGGTTACTTTTTTATGTTATGGTAAAATTTGGTTCCAAGACTGATCTGTATTTCTTGTTGAAAATAATAATCAATCCAGGACCCACCAGAAGGAAGAGTAATTGATGCTAAACTGGAGGATGGATCCCAACCAGTAACTTCAGAGAAGCCTACAGATCCAAATGCAACTCGAGGGGTACCTGAGAACCTGAAAACATCTGTTGGCAATGAAGCTGCAACACCAAAAACAACAAAGACTGAAGAAGAACAGAGTGAGACAAGTAACTCGCAGGAAAAGTCCTTGAAGAAACCCGACAAGATACTTCCATGTCCGCGCTGTAATAGCATGGATACCAAGTTCTGCTACTATAATAATTACAATGTCAACCAGCCCAGGCACTTCTGCAAGAACTGCCAGAGATACTGGACAGCTGGTGGGACCATGAGGAACGTGCCCGTAGGGGCTGGTCGTCGCAAGAACAAGAACGCAGCCTCTAACTATCGTCACATAACCGTCTCAGAAGCTCTTCAGAATGCACGAGTAGATCTTCCGAGTGGAATCCACCACCCTACTCTGAAGCCAAATGGCACTGTCCTCACCTTTGGCTCAGACACACCCCTCTGTGAATCAATGGCTTCAGTTTTGAACATTGCTGAGAAGACAATGCAGAACCGCGCACAAAATGGGTTTCATAAACCAGAAGAACTCAGAATTCCAGTTTCATATGGAGCTGGAGAGAATGGGGAGGATCATTCAAGTGGGTCTTCAGTCACTGCTGCAAATACGAAGGATGAGGTTGGTAAACCTGGGTTGCAAGACACGCTGATGCAGAATTGTCATAACTTCCCTCCTCAGGTACCATGCTTTCCTGGGGCTCCTTGGCCTTATCCGTGGAATTCAGCTCAATGGAGCTCTCCAGTACTCCCACCTGCTTTCTGCCCTCCAGGCTTTGCTATGCCATTCTATCCCACTGCACCTTATTGGGGTTGTACTCCTTGGAATGTCCCTTGGATTACCCCACCTCCTACTTCTTCTCCAAATCATGCGGCCCCTAGTTCTGGTCCAAATTCTCCAACCTTGGGAAAGCATTCAAGGGATGAAAACATGGTTAAACAAACCAACTCTGGGGAGGAGGAGCCACACAAAGAGAATAATCCCGAGAAATGCCTTTGGATTCCAAAGACTTTGAGAATTGATGATCCTGGCGAAGCTGCAAGGAGCTCTATATGGGCAGCATTGGGAATTAAAGATGATATAACCGATTCAATGAATGGAAAGTCTCTCTTTAAGGCTTTCCAATCAAAGGGTGATGGGAAGAATCATGTATCCGAAACCTCTCGAGTATTGCGAGCTAATCCTGCAGCATTGTCTAGGTCGCTCAACTTCCACGAGAGCTCATAAGTGCATAATAGTTTGAGAAATTTTTACAGTTACATTGTGGAGGGCGGTATCTTCAGGTCCACATAAATTTGCTGCAACTTTGTACTCCACAGAGCATATTGATTCACCGGCGTCATTCGTAAGAATCAATTATGAGAACAGTCCAATTGGGAGGGAGAACAGAGAAGGATTCTTATGTGGTTTCATCTCAAGAAGAAGGGAGACGGGTTAGATTAGTTGGAGGAGCAACTGATTTCCAATGTATCTTGGGTGAAAGTAAGAGTAGGTGGTTTTTGATTTTGTGTAGATGGTTTGCTGAGATTAAAGTTCATGTACATATTTATATTGAAATAGTGAGACTGTGAGAGGTAGAGCAGAGTGGAGTTTGTGTACCAAGATCCCAGATGTAGCAAAATAAACCTGGGAAAATAACTTAGAATTTTGTTTCTTGTATAATTTTCACTAGTCATTAGGTTTGTATCGTATCATGGAATAATCTCAACTCCGCATACCTAATCGCCTCCATCTCTATTCTCCTCCACCCCCCCCACCCCTTCTCTCTCTCTCTCTGCAACTGCAAACTACAACAAGAATCAGAAGTTCAAAACCCATATCTTTCAGTTTCCATCGCTCGCTGTTCCAGTTCGGGATCGCTGTTCTAGTTCGGGATCGCCGTTCGCAAGCTTCGGCCTCTGTCTCTCAACTGTCTAGCTTGCCCCCTCTCTCTCTCTGCAACTGCTAACTTGTACGTATGGGTTTTGTTTTAATTTTTTTTCTTTCTAAATCAACTAAAATCAAGGTCTGTAATTCTTGTTTTGCAAATTAAATCCTATTTGGTGAAATTTTTTATGATCTTTTTTAAATATATGTATATATATATATATATATATATGGCCTCGCCTATCTCTCTCTCTCTCTCTCTGAAATAGAAGTTGCTATTTTTTGTGTTACAATTGGCAAAGTTAAAAATTGGCAGCCCTTTTACCATTGCATTGGAGAGCCCCTTTTGAAGTCTCTTTGCTATATTTTAGAAATGACAGCCCTTTTAGCATTAGATTGTAGATGCTCTTAGATGGTTCTTCTAGTTTTAACATGAACAAGATTTGTGATGCTCATGGTATCAAACAGAACAATTACACTTCGGTTCTGGAGGAATTATGATATGTGCTGAATAAATACCAAATCCATTGCTGATCTGCATGAAATGATACAATGTGGGGAGAAAGTAGGGATGGGGGAGAATCCAAGTGAGTGAAAGGCTCTTGTCGGCCCATTCTTTTGCAGATACACTTGTATCCTTTCCACGAAAGGCTAAGCATCTTTCCTTTCAGTGCCTAAGAATCCAACCAATTTGCATCAAAGAGCTGATTCTCAGGTTTTCTTTTCCTTCTCCATTTCTTTTTTCTTCTCTCTCCCCCTTATTGTCTTCCTTCCATCATTTTAATTCGAATTGAATGGTCAAAATGGAATAATTAGTGTTGAAGTAAACAATGGCCTTGGTGCAATGGTCAGATTTGCTTCATTGTGACCTGTCACGGATTTGAATCACGGACATAGTTTCTCTACATGCGAGAGTAACACTATTAACCATTTGATTTCAATAGAGAGGTTCAATCCACATTAAACTAACTTGCATTAGCATCAGTAGTTCCTTACTTCACAAGTCCAGACACAGCATTTGACAGTGCTAAATCCACTCAAGGACACGCCAAGTTTCTTTCAACATAACTGATTTTAAGTCTACTTACAGCTTTTGGATTAGATATCAAATCAAATCTAGAAAAAATGTGTGGTCTCTTCTTGTTCATGCTGGTATAACTCTCTCATTTATCATCCATCAAGTTCCCAAAACAACTAAATTCTTGATGGCTGGCAGGTTTTAACCACGAAGAAAATCACACATACTTTGCGTGTAAGATTAGCTGTTTATGGGACCCATACCATGTGATGCCATTAACTCTTTTGGCAACCTCTATTGCTTCTGCTTGTTCATTCAATTTCGTTTTTTTTTTTCTTTTGTCTTTTTTTCTGTCACTCTTCAGTCAAGGTTTATGATTTCGAGATTAATTATGATAACAGCCATATTACAAAAATGAGATGTCATGGATGCAACTACTATTATTTTCACCGAGGCTCCTGTTGTGTTATTATTATATAATTAAAATTGTTCCATATTCTTTCTGCATTATACTATTTATACTATATTTGCTGTTATATCCCATATATCAACTGGTCTATTTATATCAATGTGCCATTTTACTTAATTTTATACATTTTCTAGAACTTATATTTTTGTATTTTGGTTATAATTATTGCCAAGTTTGGTTAACCGAGAAAACAATGGCAACAACAACAGTATTACTTGGTTGACAAGACAATAATATATTAAATATTTATTAAGCTACATATTGTCGTTATTTTTAAATTAAATATATGGGTTAATTTCATAAAACTTTTACTATATTTAAAATTTGATCGTAAACCCCTAACCTATTCCAGTAAATTCTAAATATAAAAAATGATCAAATTACTCCTAATCCGTATTCGACCAGTCCGAATTCGACCAGTTAATTAAGTTATGAAATGTGAAATTTGACTTTATGATTTACTACTAAATTAAAATTTGATATTTATTATTTAAAATTACAGAACTACCTGATTGGGTCTTATCTATTCACCTTCTCTCTCTTTCTCTCCTACAACCCGACGACAGACTTGCGTTGGCGACGCAAGGAGATGAAATTGCCCGGCGATGCAAGGATGAGTGAACAACGATGATGAGGCTTCTGATCTGCAGTCGGCGATGCGCGATGAAGCAAGGAGGAACCGGCGGCAATGAACGACAGTGAAGCAACGACTTACCGGCGAAAACGTGAGGACGGCGGTACACTAAAATTACCGATGCGCGGGTCTGAACTGAACGGCGGCAACAGAGTGAACCGGTGAGCACGCAAGTCTAAACTGTAACCACATAATTTACCGGCGAGGATGCAGGTCTGAACTACAGCCACAAAATGAATAGGCAAGGCAGGACTAAACGGACAAGACACGGAACTTACTGGCAAGCACGCCAATTGAACCGGCGATGAGAAACAGATCGGTAGCGACGGAGTGCAAGCACATATTATGACGATGAGGCCGTATCAATGTCACGATTCCGGTGGAGAGGTTGTTAGTTAAGTTCTGCAGATGGTTTATGTTTGTAGATGGGTTATGTTTGGGGAAAAAATCGTCTCCAAGGCACCTTTCACTGTAGGCTGTCCTTGGAGGGGTAAATTGATGACATGGCTCTTTCAGTAAAAAGGGTATTTACTTTGGCAGGTGTACATACGTACAAAAATTTATACAAAATGAAATTTAAACTCCCTCCAAAACATAAAAGTAATTTCCTCCCAAAATTTTATTCTATATCATTTTGATATTTCATTATTTCCCTCTAGATCTCTCTCCCTCTGAAATTGAAGTCTCTCTGATCCGGCCAGAGACCAAGCTTTGTAAATTCCAGCAACATCATCATCAAACAACCAAAACATTGTCCCTTTTCAAAGAAGTTCCGATTTAAAGTAGAAACACCATACATTTCGGTTAGAACCAGAATTCCACCATAGATTCCGGCGAGAAGCAAGAGTTCCACCATACATTCCAGCGCAAAGTATAAGTCCACCATACATTCCGGCAAGAAGCAAAAGGCCACCATACATTCTGTAGAAGTCCACCATACAATATTTGTAATTTTATTTGTTTATCTACATTTTCATAAATTTGGTATATTAAATTGCAGAGTCTGTGGTTTTATTTATCTTATAAGTGTTTATTTTTGATTTAGAAATATTTGTAATTTTGTAATTTTTCTTATTTATTACTATATACCTTGTTATATTTTTTTTTTCTATATTATTCATGGTGATCATGATCTGTTATTGTGTGTCTCGTATCTTTTGTGGATATCTTTTTTGTTTTTTTGTTGAATGGATAAGCTCTTTTGTGGGTATCTTTGTTCAACCAAATTAAGTAATGAATGTGGTGTATTTGAATTGAAATCCTTTCTCTTTTACTATATATATTACAGTATCATTTTTACCCAAAATATATCGATTAATTAATTACATTAGGTTTCATATCTGTCTAATTTATTTTACACTTTCCTTATGCGTTGTCCAAAGAGTTTTAGGAATTGAGAGATAATATATTTTTCAGTGGAGTTTTAGAATGCCATAACAATATAAAACATGTTAAATTTATGGATTAATTTTTTTCTTTCCAATCTTTGTACGTACACAAATAAATATATTTTACAAATAGTATCAAAAATTAAACTTAATATGTTTCAAAACTAAATTATATGTAACATTTTAACTTACTTGTAACATGTATCATATATTATTTTTATGTGACTTGAATCAATAAAAACGTGAAATAAATTGAAAGCAAATTATAAACAAATTTTTAAATTTTTTCTTTCTGAGTTGAATAATAGAATTCGAATGTTCTTCATGAGTGTGTGAATTAATTTTTTTCTTCCAAATATTTGCGCCTACACAAATAAATATGTTTTACAAATAACACCAGCAATTAAATGTAATATGTTTCAAACCTAAATTATATGTAACATCTTAACTTACTTATAACATGTATCATATATTATTTTAATATGACTTATATCAATAAAAACATGAATTAAATTCAATATCAAACAAATATGTTTTAGAATGACATAACAACGTAAAATATGTTAAATTTATAGATTAATTTCTTTCTTTCCAATCTTTGCACCTACACAAATAAACATATTTTACGAATAACATCAGAAATTAAACGTAATATATTTCAAACCTAAATTATATGTAACATTTTAACTTACTTGTAACATGTATCATATATTTTTATGTGACTTGAATCAGTAAAAATATGAATTAAAGTCAACATCAAACAAATATATTTTAGAATGATATATAATTTATTAATTTAAATATGTCATTCTAAAACATATTTGTTTGATATTGAATTTAATTTAAATTTTTATTGATACAAGTCATATAAAAATAATATATAATACATGTTACAAGTAATTTAAGATGCTACATATATTTTAGGTTTGAAATATATTACGTTAAATTAATGACGTTATTCGTAAAATATGTTTATTTGCGTAGGTGCAAAGATTTAGAAGAAAGAAATTAATCCATAAACTTAACATATTTTACGTTGTTATGTCATTCTAAAACATATTTGTTTGATTTGAATTTAATTCATATTTTTACTGATACAAGTCACATAAAAATAATATATGATACATATTACAAGCAAGTTAAGATGTTAAATATAATTTAGGTTTGAAACATATTACGTTTAATTCCTGATATTATTCTTAAAAATATGTTTATTTGTGTAGGTGCAAAAATTTGGAAGAAAGAAATTAAACCATAAACTTAACATGTTTTACATTGTTATGTCATTCTAAAACATATTTGTTTGATGTTGAATTTACTTCGATTTTTTATTTATACAAATCACATAAAAATAAT